CAGGAAAAGTCAAATGAATGTGATGGAATGAAACACCCTTGTATATTCCCCCCACTTAAATGATATTTTGGCAAGAATAAATAATTTAAAAAAAAAGAGTAAAGGCTTTGATGAAGGGGAAGCTGAGAGACACAAAGCCCCAGAAAGGCGGCAGGAAATTAAAGTTAATTATAAAGGAGGATTAATTTAAGCCATCAGACATGGCATGCTGGGCTAATGTCAGGCCTTAGATGCATTGCAACGCATGACAGAAATCTAAGAGCCGTCAGCCACTGCAAAAGTGGCTTTTTATTGAAAAACATAAATTGCATTTGGTGTTATCCCAGCAAAACACATGTCTTGGAGGGAGGCAGCAGTGGTGTATAATGCCCACTCGCTTGAAGCACAGAGGAACAGGCTCAGCTTTTTTCCTTGCCCAGCCATCCTTCTGCAGTGGCGGGGCTGCAGCTCCATTTCTAGTTTTTGAGTCTTTCCTGACGAGCATTTGCCGATTCCTCTGAAGGATGTGTACAGCGCTGCCTAATATTCTTTATGCCGCTTTCTTTTGTTCCACCCCATCTCCCGCTCGCTAGCTGTGCCCTGGGCTGGGGCTCAGCCTCCCGCTGTCCCTCTGCCCTGAGCTGCTCGCTGTGCCCCGGCCGGAGCTGCCGGTGCCGCTCCGACAGCTCCTCTCCTGGCTCCGTGGCTTGGCCAGCTGCAGACTGCAGTGTCTGCGCTGGCATGGGGGTTTATCTGGGGTTTTTTAGCTGGTTGCAGAAACTTTTCTTCGCTCCTGCATCTTGGAGGCCGCGGGTGCCCCATCACTGTACGAGGGCTCCCATTGCACTGCCCAGCACCGTTCCCGGCCTCCCTCCTTCCCTGTGAGATACGAATGAGCCCTTTCAAAACCTGCTGGTGAGGCACAGCAGGTCCCTGCCACGCTTTGCACTGCGTTTACATGTGTAAACAAGTTCAGATGCTTAAAAAGTGTGTAGTGCACGGCCGCAACGTGGATTGTCTCAGCCTTCCTTCGCAAACCAGCATGGTCCCCTCCCCGTCCCTGATCCCTCCCTAGTGGGATGCAGCAGTTAGCACAGCACTCCCATCTCTGCCTCTCTCCAAAGAGGTCCTTTAGAGGAGCTGTAGAGGATGACTGAGGTCCATCGCACACCCCGGGCAGTCTTAACTCAATCTTCTGCAGCTCTGAGCCGGACCAGGGTGAGCGGTGCCACCCCCTTCCCCTTGCATGTCCTCCTGCTGGCACCTTGGCCTGGCCTGCACTTGTTGCAAACTTTAATTAAGGGACTTATTCGGGATTTGACACCCCACTGGGATCCTGCTTCATCACCACAGCCCTGCTTTAAACTGCTTCTTGCAGCTCTGCATAACTGAAGCTTTTAATGGGAATGATACCATCCATCTACGCTTAGACGCAGCCCCTGCTGCACCGCGGTCCCGTCCGGAAGACGTACCTGCTCCGTGCACCTCTCCGAGCTGAGTGCCTTAGCACAGTAATTAGCCTTGCCGCCTCGCATGATAAAGATGAAGCAAGAGACTCAGAAAAAAGGGCTCCTGCTAGAAGCTGTGCCTTCTAGGCAAGCCTCTGTGATGACCTTAAAATCCAGCAACACTTTCTCGGCACTGTTTATGGTTTACTGAGGTTTCTATGCTGCTGTTAATGCAGAGGGGGTTGCAAAAAGGCATCTTAGCTTTTACAGCAGATAGGCCCATTACCAGAGCTTTGAAGGCATCAAAGCAAATAATTTTTACTTTCTACCCTCCCATCTCACTCTCTGTGTTGTTATTTCTCAGAGGGACTTAACACGGAATATGTGAAAGGAGAAAACATGGAAGCTGTCGTAAGCGAGGAACCCCAAGGTGAGAAGCGTGCATTCCTTACCCTGTCTGCATCCAGCCACAAAAGCAGCTTTACTGAGGGACTTTAAGAAAGTCCCTCATGCTGTACTGAGCTGCCGTGTCTCTTTGATGAAGCTATCACTTAGGTGATGCTGCAGCTTTTTGTGAACCATCCACCACAAAGGGGATTTTTTCCCCCTTTATTGCACACAGAGGAAAGCCATGGTATGAGACCAAGGAGCTCATGCTGCAAACGATGGCAGTTAATATTTAGCTTTCATGTCTTCAGCCATCAAGAGTGTCTTATACAAGAAAAGCATGATCCTTCTTTCAGTGACAGATAATCAAGGCTCCCGCAAGGGCTTTTTCCAATGTCACACACAACCAGCTAGTGCTGGGCACCCGTCGCTTGCGCTCTGATTCCATCATGTGCTATTGTGTTCATGATTTTTTTTTCTTTCTCCCTAGTTAAATATTCAGTACTGGAAACACAGTCAGCAGAACCACCAAAACAAGACAGTGCGAAGATGTAAAGCATGACCCGGGGCTAGAAAAGAATCAGTCTGCAGCAAACAGAGATCTTATGTGCTTGTAATTTAGCTTTTTATTTAACTTGACTCCAAAGCTATTTAATGTGTACTTAGGCTTGAACTGGCTTCTTACTACTCTAGGCTTTAGGGTTAGAGTGCTAGTATGTGTTTATTTTTTGTAAAGAGGTATATGTTTACATTGAAGCAATATCGTAGGTTTGATGTCCAGTTGTATGCAAACCAACAGAAGGTGCTTCAGTAGTGGTCAATTTTCAATTAAGGGACAAGGTCTTTTTCAAGGAGCAGACAGGTATGAGGACAGTGAAGTGCCTGTAAATAGCAATCCAAAGCAAACCATTCAAAGCCCTTTGTAAAGCACCTCCAGCCAACTTCTGCCATCAGCTGTGGGCATTTCACTTCCAACGGCGGTGATGAAAACTGCACATTTCCTGAGGGTAGACTGCAGTCCTTAGTGTAGCTACACCTAAAATTGAAGTGCCTATGGGTAGCTCCTTGGGTGGGGCCTCGGGCTGAGGCAGGTGAGTCCCTGCTCCGAAGCCAGGAGTTGAGGAGCCTTCACCACCACGCAGTGCTGGGCTTCTAACCAAATAAAAGGACCTGATTTTTCACGCCAAGTCATTAATACAGGCAATAGCAGTGTGTGCGGTGTTCACTTTTAGCAAATACCATTTGAATGGTTGGCTATGCTAGAGGTCAGAATGGAACTGAAGGTGCCAAGCGATACAGTTTGTCTGTGTGACGCGAGATGCCTACATTGTCACCAAAATGAAAACTCTGTGTGTTTGGATGCTTTCAAGGACAAGTTAAGTTCTCATTCACGCTAGAACAAATTACAGATTTAACCTGAAAGATAATAAACAAAGTAGGTATCTGTTAAGACCTGTAATGCTCACTACCACAGGAGAAGCCAAGCTTGGCGAGATGCAGTGCCCCTCACCTTCTCCTTTTACCAGAAACTATTGAGAGCACTCCCTGGCACTCGAGGCAGAAAGAGGACATAAAGCTTCATCCTTTGTGTCACCAACTAACTTTAAGAAAAGGCAGAATCTCCTGAGAGGATGGGTCCTCCATCACTGTCCTGCGTGGGGTTCCTGCAGCTTTCTGGGAAGCATCAGGCTGCGAGCGGTGCTCAGCAGGACACTGGGCTGCCCTCACAACAGCACCCCAATCCCACGCGAGTGCTCACGCAACCTTCTTCAACGTTGCGGAACCGCTATCAAGACCTGACCTTCACTATCTTGCAAGAATTTGTGTTTAGGTTTCTAGTCCCTCCCCAGCCCTTTTTTATCACTGCTAAAATGTGGATATTGCCACTTTCCGATACATTTATCCACACCAATGACTGCTTAAAAAGCATGCTCTCGAGTGAAGGAAAATTTACTTTATGTGGTTTAACAGGTACTCACTATTTATATATAAACCTGAAATGTGTCCATTTTGTACTGTTTTGCAAATCCCTTATCTTGTGAATGTGTATTCAAAAAAGCCTTTCAGTTTGATGTACAAATTCACAGCTTTCAGGTAGACACGACTTACAGAAGGCTTTGCCAGGAGGTGAATCAGCCTAGGAACAGTGCTGCCTAACAGCTCCATTTGAAATGAAATTGCCTAGTAACATGGTTAAGTATTTTGCAATAGCTGCACAATTCTTTATGCTCTTTTTAACACTTGCATTTTTAAAGCCTTATACTAGCCCTAGCAGAACAGCTACAGCGTTTTATAAGGGAGACGAGTTCTAGGAATATTTGGTGCCTCACGTGTATTCAGAACACTTAGGCTACAACAATACCGCTACAAACTATTGCTGCTTTGCTTTATGAATGTGTTTGGATTAGAAAACAAAAATATTTATTGGCTGCTCAGAGAGTGGAAGCAGAGGAAATAGAGATGGGATGTACGCTGTGTTTGCTTACTCCCAGAGAAGGATTTTCATGGAGGAGGTGGTCTGCAGGATTCGGATCATCACGTGCAGGAGTTCAGATGGCAACGAAGCCATGCAGCTGCGTTTGTGTTATCTCCACTCCCGAGCACCGTCGCCTGTTTTTCTGTCTTAGCCAAACACAATTGAAAGCTGTAGCACGAACAATGTTTTTAGAAAGATACTGTAGACGAAGAGTTACAACATAGCATTGACGATCACCAGGAGCCCTTTTCCTAGCTTAGATCAAGTGACTGTAATTCTGTTCCTCCTTTTGCCGATGACCATGTTTTCTGTAGATGCAGATCATCAGTTTTATCGCATTTCTATTACTGTGCCCTCCCTGTTTGTCTAGTGGGCAGTGCAATGGAGTGTCCAGCGTTGCTTAAAGAATATAGCACCTACCCCTCCTTTGGGAAACTCTTACACTAGAACATAGGAGAAACACGTCTAATTCACAAATACTGCAGGGTGGTTTTTTTTTAAAAAAAAGCTGTTTCACCAAAATCACTCAGTTTTTAGAACTCAGAACTTGCTCCTTTCCCCAGGCCTTTTCTATGGCTTTGGTGAATACTTACGCCTTCGTGTAATTTCTAGGTATGTGGAAAACCATAAATGCACAGTGAAAGGGAACACTTTTTCAGAAATTTATTCTAACAGAATTCATGATCTCTTTCTCTAGGATTTTAAATAGGAAAGTATTGACAAATATTGCAGTAAAGAAATTGAACTTGGTCTTCTCTTCAAAACTGGACAAAGTCAAAGTCTTAATGTGCCAAATGTCAGTAAAGGCTCAAATTGTTTTTTATTGCAGTCTGTCTCCTCCATCTGAACTGTCAGACCAGTCTCTGATAAATAGGGAGTTTATACATCATCTATATTTTAGGCATTATAGCAACTGAAAGGATTCCTGTGTATTTTCCTAGTAGTGATCCAAGTTCTGAAAAAACTGACCCAGCACTGACCTCTCTACTTTCATTTAATTAGTATCTATTCTCTTTGAATCTGGATATGGAATTCTTAAAAATCCTGCACTTAGGTTCTATATACATGGTACAAACTTTATCATCCTTTATAAAAAAAGGCCATGAAACACTGGAAAACTGGGATTTTTTTTTTTCATGAGTCCAAAAACTATATATACAGCTGTCCTGAGAGTTTATGTACTACCTGTGCTGTGAGGTCTTTTTCTTATCACACTTCACTTCAGCTTAACTAAAGCTATTTTTAATAAAATGATTCAGAAAAGGTTTCTCAAAACAGAGAAAACAGGGAATTGAAAGAATTTAACTAGCTCTTTTTCCTGTTGTTTCTTCTATCAATTACTTGCATTTTCCTTTGGCAATACTTTAGTAGTTTCTTCATTTGAGATTGGGCAATACTGTAGTAGTTTCTTAGGTTTAGATTCTTCAGTTGAGAATACTCGACATGAATTTCAGATTTTTTGGCACTATAAACTCAGTCATTTTCATGCAGCCCCACTAACGAACTCTTACAAAGTGCTATATTGTCATTCTTAACTACTCATTTGTTGTGATGAAAGTGGAATTAGTCCATAATACCATTTCAAATTCTGAAAAAGTAAGATGAGTCAACAGGCTAAGTCTTTAAAAATCTGCTTCTACAACAAAGGAGGTTTAAGAACAAATGAAGTTCAGAAACAACAGTATTGTGAAATTGGAGAATCCTTTCTTTGGAGTGAAATCCTTACTTAAAAGCAAGGTATATTGTTTGCTGATGCAGAAGTGATCTATACCAAATGAAGGTTGAATGTTACATTGTAAGAAAGTAAGATTCATTTTGCTAATGTGCATGTGAGGATCATGGGGGCAAAAATCAGAATTTGACTACCATTGGAAAACACCAAATAAAACAAAGTTGACTAGTAAGGCATTTTAGACTTGATTTTTTGTGGTTTTTTTTCATGTTGGAAGTAAACTGCAAATGGTGGGCTATATCTTTATTGTACACCGCCTCTTCTATAGCTACACTGAAGACTTTTTTAAAAAAAAAAACAAACCAAAACAAACTGGACTTTGTGAGAGAACAAGTACCATTATGAAAACTTTAATTTAATGGTAAAAATGAAGTATTTGCTCACACACACACACATGCTCAGGTGACCCAGCAACTAAACTCCACATAGTGCCCTATGTCCCTGGCTGCACTCAGCACGGCTGCTTTTTGGTCCTTTTCGTGGCCCTAGGTTTCCTGCACTTTTATTTGGCTTTTCACACCCAGTAGATGAATCTCCCATGCAGCACAAACTAAGCTTTTTCCCTTTGTATAACGAGGCAGTGCTTAATCTCATAGTCAAAAAAGGTCGTTTATATTTCAAACTAGCTACTTGTGACTCGTATTTCTTGTAGAAATAAAATTCTTTCTTCCCAACTGCACAAGATCTGGCAGTGAAAAGATCTCTAATATGATACCCACTTAGTTCAGCAGATGTGATCTCTCAGCAAATGGACATTCCTTTTTGCTTTTTAACATAAATTATTCACCTGGGGAATACTCTAAATCGCCCATTTTACTTCTTCCTCCGCTGTGGGGCTCAATGCACATGAATGGGAGCTGTTGATTCCTTATTTCCAGCTTTTAGAGAACCAGCCATTCTTGGTGTTGCTACATACAGCATGTGAATTAGTACAGCTTTTCCTGGAAAATAAGAAAAATGAAGCACTTCATGTTTAAACTATAAACTTTCCTGAGAGGAAGGCTGCCTATGCAGGGGACACAACCAGGCAGATAGGAGTGTTTACCAGCTTTAAAAGCCTTCTTCCATTTTAATGAAACAACAAAAAAATTATCTACAAAGGAGGAAAAAGTGTAATTCAGCTCTGAAACAGGACTAAAATGGCAAAGTGTCTGATGTTGATGATTCACTTAACTTATTTTACAAGCAAAAAATGTTGCAGTTGGTTACCAAGGTTTCATCCCATTCTGGGGCACTGGATTTAGGTTGTTCCCCCTCTGACATGTCATTGATAATAGGAAAATCCTACAGGTCAAATTTAACTGCTTGCTGTCTGCACAGTCCCTTTATACTCAGTAGAGTCAAAACTAAAAACCAAAGCAAAAGAAGATCCAGCGTTTGAATCAGAAGTTAACAGTTCTGTCCAAGGTGCATCAGACAGGGAACAGGGTTCTGCTCTTTCCTCAACGCATTCATTCAGTTACTAAGACCTTATTAAAAAATAAAAAATAATGACTGAATTAGTAGTTAAGAGGAAAAAATCTGATTATCAGGAAGCAGACTGAGTACACAGTCACCTCTTCAATATAAAATTACGCGTTAACTAGCACATACAAGCTATATATCCTTTGAAAATGGCCATGCTAAGCACATACAAAAACATCCATGTGCTTACACATGGAACAGCAGGATCCCTCCCCCAGTGCTCTCCCTGCAGATCAGAGAAGACTCACTGAGCTGTGCTGAAACTTGTGGATAAACAGCCAGTCAGTTGAAATAACTGGTATTCTTCTATGCAAAACCGAATTTTAGCTCTAGAAATCTAAGCTTTAAAAATCTCAGAATGCCCAAGCTAATCCAGTCATCACTTTTACAATAATTATAGAGGAAATGTTGTGATTATTAGCACCAATAAAGAGAAAAACTTCAAAAGATTTTCTTTAGCACTGCATTTTAGAGATAATGTGCTTTACTTTAATATACAGTTAAAATGTCAAGGAAATCCGAAGTATGGAAGAGTTTAATTCAACACCAGCTCAACATATTTTGGCAATTTACTGCTGGCATACTGTTCAGCAGAACCATTTTTACAGGGAAACATCTTTCATCTATTTATAAAAAGCTTGATGTTGCTGAAGAGATGCAACATTGCAAGCCTTCCTAAACTTTGTTCTTGTAGGTGAGTATCTCTTATAAAAAGCATTCACTATAATAAAAAGGACATGTTGAAATACCCTGCACTGCACAGTAAACCTTAAGACTGGATACAGAACATTAGCCTTTTCAGTTGAATTTGCAAAAGTGCTCAGGCTTACTCATTAACTACATATATGGATGCAGAGAAACAGAAAAGCGCCATCACATATTAAAAACAAATGCGCAGTAATAAACAAATACTCACAGACAGTAAAAACCACAATCGGCATATAGAGTCAACCGGCTCTTAAGAACAGGGCTTAATTCCCCACCAGCAGAACTTGGAGCAATACAAGCACGAGTCAAAAAGCAGAGCTGCAGTATTTAAATACCCTAAGGAGAACCAGATTCTCGTGAAACACAGCAAGGAAAACAATCCAGGGAAAATTTTCAGCATGCACCATTTCTGGGCCTTCTAAGACCACCACTAATTTTTTAAAAGGTTGGATGTTACCTCTCTGATACGAATATTTCGAGGGGGAAATGAAAGAATGTTGGGAATGTATATTTAAAATGAAAACACGGTTAAATTATTCACTTTCTAGAAAAAAAATGCTAGCAGCAATTTAAAAAACAAAAAGCCAAGAGGCTTTATTTCAAGAAAACCAATTAAGATCGTATTATTTAAAAACTTTGTCAAACAAAGTCATTACAAGTTAAGGTCTTTAAAAGAGTTTGGACAGGCAGGATCAATTTTCTGAACTTACAGCTTAAACCACAGGAGTATGCATATGTTTAACATCACATATATATGTGTATAAATGCACACAGCTTTGCATTTTGTGTGTACGCTTTAAAACAAAACACGCTTAACAAAACGTGGACCTATACAGACTATACAATTTACACAGCTGGGCATCATTCCAACCCCAAATATTACCATTTGCTAGAAAACAAACTTTTACTTTGTACAAGACCTTGACATGAATAAGTTTACCCCTCACTCAGGAGGCTGAAACTGAACAATAAGCTAAACAGTCAAAAGACTTTATTTCAACTTGTACAAAAGGCATTAAAAAACCTAAAATACATGCTTTACCAAATATATTACATCATACACGTCAGTGTGGTGTACTTGATAAATCCAGCTTAACTTCATCCACTTTTAATGGCATATTTAGTCAAAATGTAAAACTGACTACACTGGAAAACATTTATTTTAAAATCAATTTCCAAGTGCATTAATTACCTAAAAAAAATAAATTGCTCTAGCAAAAAAAGAAAATATATATATTACCAAGTGAAATATGGGAGCTCCCATTCAGAAAAACATTCTGTGTTCTGTGTAAGCATCATGCAGCATTTCATCTGATTCTCTCAACCAGGCATGGTACCCTAGGCAGTGAGAGGCATTTTTCTGTCTGCTTGGCAGATGGATTCCTTTTTAGGATGGTTAAATTGTTAGTTACTCAAAACAAAGTTTAATTTTGCAATTGGTGATTTAGCTAGAACAGTAAAACACATGTGGGAACTGCCAACAAGAAAACACATCACATCTATTGAAGCTCTTTTTGGCCTCATCATGATAGTATCAGACACAAAGTAAGGCATGTAGATCATAGCAATTACAAGTCACTCACAATCCTTTTGTGATGGGAAAAGCATTTCACCCTCCTCTCTGTATTACCTGACAAATTTTTTCACATGGCTTTTGTTACACATCACACAGAGGTGTGCACTGGCGTGGCTGAATGGGAAGGAGATGAACCTCTATCAGAGGAGGAAGAAATGGATCGTGTAGCAGCTTCCCGCTGCAAATCTTCAACCTTCTTCTGAAGCTCCGTCCGGATGGCAAGGAGCTCTTTAAGATTTTGATGGATTGGAACCTGTCGGGTAAAGAAAGAAAAGGTTTACTTTGACTCTCATAGTGCATTATCTCCTCAAGCAATGCTTCCATCGGGAATCCAACACCTATAAATTTCAGTATATCAATATTTAGGGAAAGCGTTTCTTTAGTACTTTCAAAAATGAAATATTTCAGCAAACGGTCCCTTTCTAACACAGCTGGCACGAAACCTATTCAAAAGACTGTTTGCAAATGGTCTTGATGGGATACCAAACATATTCCAATGCATGCACCCCTATACCTTATCAATACCATTTTCAGTGGAACCTAAAATGCCTTTCCTGAGAACTATTTCCCCTGCCTGCTGGGACAGAACTTACAATGTAAAGAGAGTAGAGTTCACAAAGCTGGCTCTGTATGGAGCATCTTGTTACTCTTCTAACCAGGCATCTTTCCAAGAGTCTGACCCTTTCCAGCTTGTCAGTGAGATAAAGTGCAGCTGCCAAGTGAATTGTGCTTGTGATCGACCTCCTGGAGTCACACTCCAATAAACCTGTCATAGAAGCAGGTCCTACAGGTTTCTGCCTCTGCTTCTGACAGCACCCAAAAAATACCAGAGATGCACCACTGTATCAGAGTTCTAGGCATTTTTCACACTCATCTAGAACATTCAACTGTATCATGGCCAAAGGAAGATGCAAGTCACGCTGTTTTTTGCAGCTGGATCTCTTATCTCAGACAGCAGAAAGAGACCTCCCCTTCTTCCAAGCCACAGAAAGGCCAAAAATGTTTGTAAATTGCTTTTAATTTATTTTATCATGTATAAACTCTAATTGTTTACAGCTTTTGGAAAGAGCAAGATGGGAAAAGAATTTAATTGGTTGGCGAGACAATCACGGGGAAATGCAGCAATTGGAAACCTATGGATCGCTAGATGTTGTAATTTATGCCCTGGGCTTCTGGAATATGCCAGGCTCCAGGGAACTGCATTCACCCACGATCGCTTCCTACTGCTTAAAAGTTATTACAGGGCTGGGATGCACACCTCAGCATGAAATTTTCACATGATGCTATGTGAAAAAGATATCAAAACCCAGAAAGGATTTCTCTTCTTGCCATCAACACACAACTGAGTCACAATTTACGTTTTTGTGAATTCTGGCTTTTTCAAGAAAGTACATAAAAAATCCATGCACTTGATTTTGGTATTTTCAAAACCTAACACTTGTGTTTCTGAAACAGGAAAATACCATTTCATTTCTAACTTTATTTCTAACTTAAAAGAATAAAACAGTATCAAACAGTCTGGTTTAGGTCAACATTTTTTTGGCCATACACTTTTTTCTTCTTTGCAGCTTAGCCCATGAACAGAAACTTCAGTGTATTCAGACTGCTGATCCCAGTACCCGGGGAGTCATCAATTCACCCAGCGTGTCATCTGCACCAATTTTAAAAGCGTAACTTTTGAGTCTTCGGCAGAACAATCACTGCACACCATCAGGCTCCCAATGACCCTGGAGTCCTGTCTTCGCTATGCAATGAATTCCTTCTTTTCTTGCAATCTTTTCCTGCATCCACCATACAAACTCTTTAGCAAGTGAGGCCACGAGTCTACAGACAACAGCTTCCTCCTTCACTAATCAAACACAAAACACGCCCTCCAGAAAGCCAACCTCATTTTTCTGAGGCAGTCTATAGAAAGTGTATACACGTAAAAACATGGCAAAACTGAATCTGGTGATGAAGTTTGTCTAAGATGCTGTAATACACACTATGGAAAATTCAAATTTCAGTGAAGCCCAAGACTTTCTGGAATTAGCACCCCCCTGTATTTTTTTTTTCTTTCCTCAAGTAAAAGATCTCTTCCTCATACACTCCCACTTCAGATTTCTTCTTTATGAAGACATTTTCCTGAAACACTTAGGTCTGCAACACAGTGATTTACCATTGGTATCATTAGTCACGCAAGTCCTGGGAGATTTGTACACCCAATTTCTGCACAGCTTAATCATGATTCAGCAGAACAGGCCAATTTCTCTTACACACCTTTCACACGGGCATTAGCCGGTGTGTTCCTCTGCACAATGCTCAAACACTCATAGAAAGCAGTTCCATACAACTGGCTTTTGAGGAACCTACTACAAATCCTTTCAGGATACACTACAGAAAAGCTGCTGCAGAGCTTGGCATGCTATGTAAAGCGCTTCGAGGAGGAAAAGTGTGGCTGCACATCTCAATCCCTCTTCTGCATTCCCCCAGAACCTAATTCAACAAGGCGCACGCTCAAATTTTGACGCAAGTGCTGCTCACCCCACACATCCATCTCAAAGAACAGGACTGTCTTTAAATAAATTAGCTAAATAACAATAATGACATTTTAAAAGTCTGTGTATATTCAAGTCACAGAAAAAAAACTTTTCAACATTAAGATTGCAAAATTATGCTCTCAAAAAATTAGGAGGTGTCAGAATGAAGATTACTTCTCCAAACTCAATTCAACCTTCCTGTACATCTGTATAAAATAATTGGTTAAATAAACATTAAAAAACTACTTCCCCCTTGTATTCCTCATTTATTCAGTACACAGTTTGATGCTACTCAATTAGTGAGCAGTTATTCAATATTTAGTTTTCTTTGCAGTGTCTGACCCCATCCTTTATTTATTCTTCTGAATTTAAAATTATTAAGTTTCCTTTTCTGTACTTTCATCTCATGTCAAGAAACAAATTTATTTCTGCAGCACCCTAATGAGGTATGGGAGTACTAACACTCCACTTTTACAGACAAGGATCTGAAGCAAGCACCTCCTAATTTTGCATACCTTGGATCTCAAATTGGTTTAACAGAGAACTTAGGAATTCTGCAATTCAGCCTCGTGGGTATCAAGCAGGGCACCCAATAAATAAGGAGCACACACATGGTGACCACTCTGCTCCAGGTGATCTCCCTTACAACAGACGAATCCTGTGGTAAAGGCAGGGAGAAACTTCATTTCTTCAGAGCAGCATCCTGCTCCCTCACCCACAGAACAATTCTTCCTTTTTCTGCAGCCGTGCCCCCTCCAGCCTGCTGTCCCAAACTGTATTCCATGGGTTGAACAGAAAGCAAAGCCCTCCAACATGTGGAGCATTATTCCCTCCTAGTTCCTCTTCCCAGTTAGTCACAACTCTTTCACAGACTCTGTATCAAATCCATCTCTCAGTCCTTTTACTCTCATTTATTGTCAGTCATTGAGAATTCACTGAGATTGTTCCAGCCTCAGACCTCCAAACTGGATGAATTTCTTCCAGGATATGAGCAGGCACATTTCTGAAACATCATCTCTCTTACTAAAATCTCATGTTTGCCCTAGAGATGGGATATTTACAGAAAAACAGCCCCTCACCCCAACAAAAGAATTCTACAATACCAATATTTTCATATGGGAAAATATTTTTCTTAGTCACATTCTCATAAGTAACTAAGCCTTCTTGGATGAAATTTTACAAAATGATTCAGTCAGACACACATACTTGGTGACTCAATACAATATTAGAGTCCATCAAAGCTGTAAGCAAGGCAGAGGAGGGTCTTATAATGGGAAATTAAAAAAAAGGGTCACCTCTAAAATGTTGGTCATCTTTTAATAAGTGGTGTTAGATGTAAACACTGCAAGACAGTTCTACATAAATATCATCATGCCATTTCACATGGTAGTGTAAACACGAATGGTGTTCTAATGCCAAGTCCTTCCCAGGAAAAGATTCTTGTTGCTTGCCATTTAACACTGCATCATGTAGATGCACACTGATGTAGAACAACAACATCCCAAGAATAGATTTCACACACTAAACTTCTGATACATACTTTAATTTCATGAAATAACATGTCAAATTCAGTCCAGATAAATCTTTAGCACTTTCAGAGTATTTTCAAGCAGCTGACAATAACTGATTTATTAGTGATAAGAGTCCATGTTAAAATTACATACTCATGGGGTAAGAAAAAGGTGGTACGGGCAGCTGAAAGATATAAAAAAATATTACAGAAGTTCTTATAAAACGACCTGAAAAGCAGCCTGGCATAAGGAGCTGTGTCTTCCGCCAGATGTCTTCAATTCTGTTACTGTAACTTCCCTTTTTTCAAAAAGCAGCAAATTCAAATGTGAAAGAATGAAAAGAGAGACAATGGTGCTAGAGAACCAAACAGAACTGGAATTATGCAGCTTTCTGAAAGCCTCCTTCCATCTTGGAAGGAGATGGAAGAGTAAGAGGATGAAGCATCTTCAAATGAATTCTGTCACAAAACCCATTAAAATAATAATAAAAGTTTACTTAATTTCCACACTTCCTAAAGACTTACTCCCAGGCAGACCTGTTGCTGCCAGTGTTGCCTCATACCATCCTGTGCAAATTCTTACAGATAACTAAATTTTTGTCACTTCACACCATTATATTTCAGTGTGTGACTCCTCTCTCAAACAAAGCCTTCTTCACAAGGAAATGGGTCCAACAACCTTCACAGTAACACCTGTAATGGCTTGCCGTGAACAAGGTTCTCCTTTACTTTGCCACTGTTCAGAACAAAAGGAAGTGGAACAGTGACAGATTCTGTAAGGAATAGGAAGTTTGGAGAAGATCGTTTATTAAAAGATCTTGTTACCACCTTAACCCTAGAAGTGTATACCTGCACAGCACAAGCAGTGTCTCCATGGCAAGCTTTTATTACAGTCTTGTTAAGAAATCATATAATTGATTTGACTGAGATGAATTTGTTGGGAGTCTGACAGCAGTTGTACTGTTTTCTACTCTCTCATCCTGCCTCTCAAATTAGGAGTGGAAGCTCAAAAGATGACTCTGGACCCACCACCCAGTCGCATTCAAGTTATTTTTTTTGCTGTTCTACTCTACTGTATCGACACCAGATTTTCAGAAGAGTGTGCATCCTTTCCTTTGTAGTACCAGCTTCCCAGTGTGTTGCCGCAGTAATGCTGCTAGGCAACACCCAGCCACTACAGCCAGGTCCCCATCATTTCTGTCCATACTCGAGGGGAAAGCAAAG